CAACCCATCTATCATTGAAGAGCTGCGTGGCGCATGATTTGTCGTGGCATGCAAAGCCTCCTTCGCGCAGAAACCAGCCATATCATCCCATGCCTTGTCACTTGCATTGTAAATTCATCGAAAACATGCAAAGCCCCACGTTCACGCACTGTCATTATGCTGTATGAATTCTCACTGTATGGAGTTCTCCACGGCATGCAGATCCTGTCGTAGTCGTCATGCAGTCACCATGCAACAGAACTGGCAGTCACCCTGCAACAAAACTGGCAGTCACCCTGCAATAAATTCGCTTCCTTGTTGTCATGCAGTACTTCCCCGAAGGGCCGCCACCCTTGCATCACTCCAGCCATGCATCACCTCGTCTAGACGGTCAAGCAACGTCCTCGTTATGTGCCAGCCCCTCATCCCGATGTTCAAGCAATGCCCATGCCAATGTGTCTGAGTCGTCAGAGTATTGGCGACGATAGGTATTGCACACTCTGCTGTTCCACAAGGGGGAATCCAGGCTGGTAATTGTAGTTGTGGTCCAGTATATCCAGCAAAGGAAGACTGATCGGTGTAGGCTCAGCTTACTGCCATCCCAGCTACTCATCGCACCGAATGTCAGAGGCCACTCTCACCAATTTGAGCAGCGATGCAATCTTCTGCTCACTTCTGAAGACATGCCATGGCTTTCAAACAGAGCGAGTGTATCCAGCATAGAAAAAGGCAGATCGGTGTGGGCCCAACTTACTGCCATCCCAGCTCCTAGTCACACCCAACGGCAGAAACCAGTCTCACCAGTTTGAGCAGTAGACATTCCATGGCTTCCAAACGGAGCGCGGGGTTAGGGTATAAAAGTAGGGCAGGGAGGGAACAGGCAAGTGAGAGTCCCTTCCTTAGCAGCACAGGGCAAGCAAAGCAGGCGACCCAAGCACAGGCAGCAGCTATGCGTGTGGGCGAAGCCCATATATGCAGCACTGCAGCTCACCGCTTTCTCCCTCTGACACGAACATGACTGACGCGGACATGACACTGAACTTCTGCTGCACTGTCATCACACTAAGCTTGGTTAATGTTCGTGGCAACTGTAGGGGGGTAGGGACAGGGCAACACTGGTCAAACGGGTCAGCGGAGGGCTTAGGGGGCTTCTGGCAGCTTCAGCTTCACTCAAGACAGGCTCCTCATCTTTTGCAGACACAGCTCAGCGGTGCGCTCAAGGGATCAAAAACTCATGTATGTACCTATGTGGCCATCGATTAATTACTCCATCCCTGGACTGTCTGCAAACAATTCGTATCCGCAGCAGACTCAGGGTTTGCAGATGTACAGCATGCTTTCAAAAGTATACTGGCATGCATGCACAACATGAGACGTGTCATGCAGGCATTGTACATGAGCATGCACATGCAGACTTGCAGCATAAATGCCGTGGTGCCGGCAGCATGCAAACAAATTCCGTGGTGCCAGGCACGCAAGTGTTGCAGTTGGGCCAAGCAGCTCGCAGCAGCAGTCTCAAGGAAGCATGCATCATTCAATTCCGTGGTGACAGGCATGCAAACTCATCAAATTCCGTTGTGGCTGGCACGCAGCGAAGAAAAACAGCTTACAGCTTTGCCTGTATCAATACAACATGCAATGTACAGCGGCCACAAGACATTCATACATCTTACTCCTCATGATGTGGTGCCCGGCAGCTTGGAGCAGTACTGAACACAGGCCTACCAGTAAATAGATGCCGAGAGTACACAGCTGCCGGCGTCCACATCTGTGAGGCGGTCAGTTGCCTCTGCGCGGGAACTGCAGGTCCGGGTATGGGTTGCTAAACCCAAGAACCTCTTCCTCTGGCGCCAGCACTGTACGTCCGCTAGCCAGAGTCACCGTGGCCAGGTTCGGGATACCCCCTTGAACGGGTGGGGGAATGCGCCTGCTCAAGTCGATGACATTCGGCATGGGGTGCTGCTGCTGCATTGGAGCTGGCTCCTGGTGGTGCGAGGCACTCGGTGGGCTCCTCAGCGCTGGCCTCTCTGGCGTACGGTCTCTGATCGCCTGGATCACCTGGTACGCCTCCGTGAGAATGCCCTCGATGTTCCTACAGACCTCCATTGACTGTGTAGCACCTTCTGAATCTGCAGAGCGCGTCCGAAAGCAGCCGTCAGCTCCGCAAGGGAGTGTTGGACGCTGTCCAGGGCCGCCGTATGCTTTCTGTGGAGTCCAGCTTCCTCCCTGTACGACCGTGCCGAGGATCTTGTTGACGTCCTCCTGGAGGGAACTTGTGCGCTCCCGTAGGAGAGCTTCCGTCCGGTCTCCTTGGTTGGTAAGCTTGTCGGGGAGCTTATCAAACTTGGAGATAACACCATCCAGCTTGGCGATCAGGACATCCAAGCGGGAGTGGTCCGTGTCGTGCTTCGCCATGGCTTTCGTGAACGTCTGCTCAAAACTGCTCAGTTTCCCAAGCAGTTCCTCTTGGTGGGCATCCGTCTTCGGCTTGATCTGCTTGTCGAGGGTTCCAAAGCGGGCCTGCTCAGTCTGTCCCGCTGCATGCAAAAGCTGCTGCAGGGAGTCCAGCTGCTTGGTCTGTGCTCCCGCCAGGTCCGCCCCTTTCTGGCTGCTCTCCTTGGTGGAATCCAAGGAGGTGGACACCGTCTTGAGCAAGGCGATCAACTCCTTCAGCGCCTCCTTCTCTGTTGAATTCAACGAATTCAACGCAGTGGAGCATGCATCCATCACTCTGTCGAAGGGCTTGAGCTCCATCATCTTGGCGTTGATTGCTTGGCCCACAGCATCCACAACTGTGTCAACAGAAAGTGTGATGATGGCAGCACTTCCATCCGTGCTGGCTGAGCTCACTTGTAGGAAGCGTCCCTCCAAGTGTTGAGCCATGTTCTCTGAAGGCGGTGCCTTTCTGGCACAGCCAAAATTCCGGTCCATTTTTAATGGATAGCTTGTTCTGGTCCGCAATTCCGCGGCTGGAAGGCCGGAGAAAAAATGAAGCGTGAAGATCGGGACCCTGCAACCACACCGTGTGCAAAACCACTATGGGCCAACTTGATGCATGTTGGATTTTCGGATTTCGGAACTTCCACCATTCATTTCGCGGACCGACTGCTGCTGCCGCTACCAGTGCCGCAGCCCATTAATGGCTTAAGCCATTCGCAATCTCGCAACCCCGACGCAAACTCACGGGTATTCCGTGGGATTTTGTCGTAGTGTTGCGGGCAAAATTGAGATATGAAATCAATGCAAAAAGTTAAACAGTTGCAGCGGAACACATTGTACACACCTTCGTGGAATTTGTCGGCCATGTCCACGATTGTTCCAGCAAGGGTGTCTGGATGGCAAACGTGATGCCCAATCGCCACTTCACTGACCAAGGAATATCCACTTCCTCCCGGACGGCGCATTCGGCAGCGAAATCGCCGAACCGCCACGGCACCAGGGAGATCTCAACATTGACCAAGCCACGTGCGGGCTGGACAGTAGGAGCAGGACGTCGCAGCTGAGACCGCATTATGTATTTCACTGGCTGATGCAACCCAGCTCGCGGGACAACACCCCACGCTGAAGCCCCGGCGAGGAATCCAGAAGGCGCTGTGGCCAGGGGAATCCAAAGCATGCGGCTGTCCGGTCCGATTTGTTGAAAAACCGGGCCGGAACGGGCCGGTGAGGCCCAGGAAAGTCTCCAAGCGACATCCCCGGCTGGGGTTTCAATCAACGCTTCTTTAAGTCCATGAGCCGAGCCGTTGCCATCACACCATTGCAGCATCACCCGCGCGCCTGTGTCTCCCAACTTCACCACGGCTCGGCGCTCCTGGAGGGCCAGAGCCAAACCAGCCAAAGCTGGGCTCATGGTGTCCGGCAGGGTGTCTGAACTCTGTGGCTCGCTGGCCCAGTCCAGAATTGCACGCTCAACTGGTCGGATTTGCCGCATGTCGCCCAACCAATTGAGCTCTGCAAAACCCTCGAAGTCCAGACGCTTCACGCGGCTTTGGTCCTCAAGTGGGCTTGCAGCAGCAGCAGCAGCAGCCGCCGGAGTGCTGCACATCCGCAAGAGGTTCGCCGCCTTGGGAACCTCGTGCTCTGCAAGCTTGCTCCTCGTAACGAAAACTTTTCGCAGCAGGCGAGACATCGGAAAGTCCTGGCCGTCCAATGTAATTTTCAGTTCAGCGGACAAGCTCGCCTTAGCCTTCTCCAGCTGGGCCCAGATCTTCTGCAGGTCTTCCTGGTGGTGCGGCTTGAATTGATGGTCTTTGGGCGTACGCGATCTGGGGCTTTCTGCGACGGTCTTGCTCGACTTGGGGCTCGCCATGCCAAATGCGCGAAAGTTGGGTTTTCGTTGAGCCAAGCTTGAGCCAGGGTTTAGGGTTGAGGGCTTTTGGAACCAGTTTTCCTTCCGACCAGCTCTTCTTTCAAGGTTTCGGGTTCAGGCTTTAGAGGTTTAAGGGTTTAGGGGAACAAGAAATTTTGAATCGAAGGCCTATGTAAGACACTCAGTTTTTCAAGCCTGCAAAGACCTAGCCCAGGCAAGGAAAACCCCCTGATTAATCATCCGGCCACCACAGAACCATCGTGTATTCCTTTTGTATGACTGTTAAGGTTTAAGGTGAGGGTTTCGACCCTAAGCAGAGCACTAGAGTCTGTGTTACCAGAGAACGAGAATCAGCAACGAGAATCCAGCCAGCCGTCGGAGACAGCAGATCCATGACGGGCATGCAAATTCGCGGCTTGCCCCAAAGAAAAGCCGCTCCGTTACACCTTATGTTCATGCTTTCCCCCGGTGTCTGGCGATTTCCACAAGCTTTACGACTTCAGTTATCGACGGTGCTTGCCCTACCTGCTCTACAAAACCCTGGAAGGAGTGTTGGGTGGCAAGCCCGAATTTATTTGGCGGGATCAGGCCACCAGCTGACCTACTTTGGGGAGGTGTTGTTAATCAAGAGTTCCCGTTAGAGACCTTGCTTCTCCAGAGTTTTCGCGGCACTCCCAGTTTGAGGGACAACCGTGCCTAGAAAATGGACACTTCAATGGCACGAAGCTGTAGACGCCTGCGCGAAGCCGCCAGGTTGGCCATGGAGAGATCGCGCCACCTTCCACCGGCCCGCCCATGTTCGTCTGAGTGTGTGTTCCGAAATGGAACTGCCTCTAAATGCTTCAAGGCTGAGGACATGTGCCTCTTCGCCTGTGCAACAATCGAAGGATCGCTCGCTTCTTCTTCTCAGTAAAAATAGTAGCGATGCCCTCCTCCTCAAGGGCTTCCAGGTGTTGCAACAAAGCCTCTCACAAGGCAAATTCAGGACCTTGGACCACAACCCGGCAAGGGTCAGACTGGTCCCGTCTCGCCTCGTGGGCTTGGCTCGTGGAGTCCAGGAGACAAACCAGCCGCGGCCTCTGCGCTCCCAGGGGCCCGAGCACCCGAGCACCCGATCGGAGCTGGCCTGGGGCTTTCGATGGTGAAAGGAGCGTCCTCCAGCTCGCACTCCTTCAGCAAAGGGACCTGCGAAAAACCGCGCAGATGCGAAGCGCGACCTCTTCCTTTCAAGCAAACCAGCTCTGCTTGCGAAGCGCCTCATCCTGGGAGCAGCTCATGAGAACGAAGTCCACATCTTTGGCCGAGGCCTTTCTCTCCTCAAAAGAATGCAAGAGGGAGCACTTCGGCTCAAGAACCTCACCAAACCCAAGGCCCCCACCAAGACCAGGCCCTGGAACAGCTGAGGAGTGGCCTTGAGGAGCCCTTTTGGCGATTCCCACGAGCGATGGATGCCCTAAGCACCGCTCCATCAGCAGCCGAGGTATCTCTTTTCCAGAAACCTGCCGCAGAGAATGGAATGTTTTCACATGCTGCCAGAACGAGAACAGTCTAATGCTGGACAAGCTCTCTCACCTGAGCTGTGGTTCATTGCATGCGTCGTTGGTCTTGTTGGTGAACGTGATTATACCTCCCCCTTCAACATGTGCACAGGGTGCTCTGCGAAACTGCATCATGTACACAGCTGATAGGGCTCCACACCTTAATGATGGCTTGTTGTTCCTGTCTCCGGCCATCGAATGTCCACGGGGGATGTAAACCGCAGACATCGAACAGATTACCGCATCGAAACAATTACCATGACAACTGAAGACAGAGTTCTGTTCTCCAGTGTCCCAACTTCGGCTTACGATCATGAACAGACAGGGACGGGTGAGTACATGGATACTGGAAGATGAGCAAGCCCCGTTTCAAACATAGTTCTGATCTTGCTGCCATGAAGCGATAATGCGTATCTTTCCGTCTTGTGGCTCATCAATGTCGTGCAAATAGATTACGTCAACTTCTTTCGCCCTGCATTTTCCTGCTGATGGGCGAAGGCCCGGAAACCACGAGGGAACACGAGTTGGAAGATTCTCGTTAGTCAAGACGAGGCTGGTAAACGGTTTCACCCTCAACTGCTGCCCCAGCGATCAATGCATGTAATGAAACTTCCAGTCCGTCCACCTCTCGACTTTTAATCTAGTGAATCTGGTTTGGCACTCGTACGGAAACACGTCTCGATGGCATCCTCGTCGCGATCATATGACGAAGCGGGACAGAGCAAGCCAAAGAAACAAGCCAAAAGAAACACCAACGCCCGTGGACACTCAACGAGCCTTGCCAATCGATTCCTGCCAGCGGCTTGGCCTCCAAAGGCTGGACATGAAAGCAGGAGACTCCTTTATTCGAGTTGGGTAGCTGGCTCTTGCGGTGAAAACCTTGTCACAGGACAGCCAGGAGATGCGGATTGGATCCAGAGCCTGCATGATCTTAATGCGTCTGGCATATCTGCAAGGAAACCTGCGGGCGCCCAGCTGAGCAGCATCCAGCTCGCCACCTTGAGCAAGCAGCAGGACCTGTCGAGTTTCAGCCTTACCCTTGTGATGCTTTCCAAACCCCAACCAAGCCGCACCGGCGCTCCACGACTAGCTCCAGCAACTGCCGCTTCGAGTAGAAGCCGCCTCAGTAAGACCCCAAGTAGAGGAAAAAGCTGAGAGTGAGATGCAACACAAGGGTCGTGCCCTGCCAAGGCCGGCCGCGCGCAGCCCGGTGGCAAAACCTCAGCACCGCTCCACCGCTCGCGGCCGCTCGCGCTTCTCGCTCGGAGTCTAGGCACCGCTCACACAAGGCAGCACCTGCTGCGATCGCCTTGGACACTTCACTGTGCAGGAATGCCACCTCCCATGCCAGCAGAGTTGGGGCTGGGGTGTCAGAACCCTGGGCATTCGCCAGCATGCTGGCCGCCTCGCTCGGGTGCGGAAGCTTCCTGGCTGCACTGCCAGGAGCAGCAAAGCGGCCCGGCAGCCTCAGGCTCCAGCCATCATGCAAACGCTCTTCTGCCCAACCCAACTGCCGCCCCGGCTGGAAGCGCGGAGGATCCTTCACGCCGGTCAGAGAAGTGACCTTAACAGGGGCAGGTGATGGCGAGTGATCACCACTTTTCAGGCTCAAACGGTGCAGCTTCAGTTCCAAACCCCTTGCGCCATTCCTTCATCTATCACTTTTGCGATCTCGAGGCTGTAGCCTGGAAGAAGGTTTTTAGTTTTTCACCCCCACGGACCATGCCTGCATCCCCTGGCCTTCAGATGGAACAGGAACTGCGACGACACGAAAGCGGCCCCGGCAACATGGACAGGCATACACCTGTTGCTGGCTGTGGCTGAAGCTTCGTGGAAAAAGGACTCTCCAAAGCTTCGCAAAAGCCTCACAGTACCGAGCACGCTCCCACTTCATCAGCTGTCGGTGACGTCTGTCATTCCATGTCAACCTTATAGCAACTGCATGCTTCCCAGCGAATCCGCACCTCTTCCAGGATATTTATTTATTTTCAACGGCTGGGAGGCAGGCAAACCACGTCTGAACTCTTCTCTAGTGAGAAATACCTCCTCCTGCCGAAAAAGCAGACGGACAATACTTGACAATGGTATCAATGCATCAGGACTTCGGGTTGACCTCTTCGCTCATTTTCGCCAGCACTTTCTTGGGTCGAGTTCCAGCAAGTGCTCGCACCTGCTGAGCAAAGCCACCCACGAAAGCTGCAGTGCAAGCAAGCCCAACGCGTACCTTCTTCATTGCATCTGCTCCAAAAGCTGCTGGAGGAGGCGGCCTCTTCTGGCGCATGTCTTCTACAAGTCTGCCATCAACGACGAAGCATGATGAAGCTGGTAGGCAAGCAGCGCGTTGTCTTGTTGTTGCCAAAGTTCTGCACAAAAGCGTGCCATGTCCTCCGCTGTCCAGAAGTCCTGTAAATCAGGAGATCCCCACCAAAGAAAAGAAAGCAGCCATCAAATGTATCATGTTGCTGCAATCCCGGCCTTCCTCCCGCTGTCAAACCTTTCGAAAAGCTTTGCTGCTGCCGCCTTCGTAGACTTGCGCGGGGCGTTTCACCAGCAACAACAGCTGCGATCCTTGTTCGACATGGTCTGAGCCAAATCCGAGAGGAGTACCTGCAAGAGCTGTCCCGTCGCTCCAGATAATGGCAGGCCCTCCAACATCTACGAAACGAGCCACTGAAAACATCGGATCGGCCTCAGACTTTTTCTTGTCAACCCTCCTGCGAGCTTTGTAGGCACCTTTCACCAGCAGTCTGACGGAAGCCTTACACGCATTGGGTTTGGGCTTCAAACGAAAATGCCGTTGGACTGTAACGGCGGCTTTTACCTCTTCACTGTCCTGTCCAAGGCTCGAGTGCACGGCAGGCATTTCGTGCTTGGAGAAAGAAGAGAGTCCTCCTGCTTTGCTGGCATGCTCGAGACCTGGCGTCTTATTTGCAACCACTTCGCACCATTCCTTTGAGCACCACTCGCAAGCCGCCTCGCGCTCTGCTATCCAGTCCTCCAACCAAAAGCGCCAGTGGCTAGCATATGCATCCACCAGTGCATCGTACGCCTGGCAGCAAGGACATCCAAGATGCAGAAAAATCACCACAAAGTGGTGCAATCAAAACGGCGGGTTGGCAGCATCTGGAAGCCGATCCGCATACGTTTGTCCAAGATCCTTCTTTGCATTGTCAATGCAGGCCTCCCAAAACATGCGAAAGCAAAGTGAGAAAAACACAAACTGAGAAGCAGCGACACCTGCCACACTGATCGCAGGAATGAAGCAGGAGGTGGCACGTAGTTCGATTCCTGCATGTGCCACTTACGCAGACATGGAACGTTCAGGACGGCTTTCCTGCAGCACGCAAGTCCTCAGCCAAGCTGCCACAAAATTCGCGGAATTGATCGAAGCCCACCGTTTCATCATCCTTCAGCAATGGAAACGGAACGACACAGTGTGCCTGGTTGCCGCCCGGCTCCTTTCGTAGCTCACTCATCAATCGATGGCCTCAGCCAACTATGCTCGACTGCGCATGCAACATACACTTGCAACGATGAGCACCGTACTCGGTGGTCTAGCAGAGGTTCCTCCACTCTTCGCCAGCCACCATTGTTCAAACCACTGCTCTCTATGAGCTAAGTATACCTCCCACGGCATGCAGCCACTCGCAACGGGTCGTGGCCGCTGTCGACAGAAAGGTCCGGCGCACTTGGAAGCCGGCAATGAAGCGCCCCTCCGTCAAGGAATCTAGTCCAGGTGCCCATGCCTCGTCATAAATCTGAAACGGATGTAGCCCGATGCGTCGAATGCGATGAACATCTGTGACGAATCTAGTGCAAGTCCAAGCCTGGAACAGTCGTTTCGCGAAACCTTCCGGAAGTAGCCCTGCTTCGACTGCCTTCTGCAAGCAAACTCATGCAAACCGACTGGTCACTGACTCATTCGGATCGGGACAGGGGTCGCTTCAGCATCTTGAATACTGGGGTCGTTCTTGCTTTCAATCAATCTGTTTCTGAAGCGGTGAGATTGTACCCCTTTTTCTCCTGTCACGGTTCCACTTGGCGGGTGTGTTTTATGCTGCCGAGGCTTTTGGTTTGCCGATTTGGCTTCAGGATCTGCGATGGAGATGCCTTACTACTTTGGAAGTGAGATGTTGGCTTGGGCTTGTTGAACACAACACATTGGAAGGGCACGCTCCAAGAATGCTGCTTCGGGATCCATCGCTTTGCCCGGAGGCTTTGGGCTTGCCGTGCACATGTCTTCAACCCTTCCACCGCTGTAGTTTAAGTGTATTAGTGGAGAAGTGCTCTTCTGGATCGTGATGTACTTCGCTCCGCAACAGAACAAGCACATCCCTGCGCCAAGCCTGCAGCAGTTGCTCCAACTCCGCTGGCCTACGAATGCTTGAACTGAGAACGGCCCAAACAAAAACTCGGGAACTTATATTTTTGAGTGCCATGCGAGAGTCTCCAGCCCCGATCTTCCTGCGAGAGATTTGCAGGACAAAACGAACGTGCACAACTGGCATGCGAAGAAAGGAAAGGTCCTGGTGCGCAAAATGACTGAAAAGCCTCCGAATGTCCTGACATGCACAGGGCAGCATCTTTGCAAATGAATGATTCTTGGTGATGCCTATTTGCCATCTTGCACCAAACAGTCCTCCTCGCTTGCAGGCTGACCGCTTCCGGATGCCATTTTCTGTCGCAGACGTGACCTCGGAAAGAAAAAAACTCACATGACCGAAAGATCTGGTTCATCGCCTGGGTAACGCCCAAAAGCAGCGAGAGCACTGCTCTGCTGTCACACTGAGGGACCCACTCACCTTACCACTGCAAGGGATCCACAAAAAAAGGCACTTTGCTGTGGAAGTCTTCACCGCTGGGCAACGACAGGATTCATGGAAACGATCACCGGCTAGCTGCTGTGGGAACACTTGAACCGAAACTGCCCTTCTCGCACAGCCATGTGCGCATAATTGTTTGCCCGTCCTGCCCCCCCCCCCCCCAATCCTGAAGACAAGGAGTTCTCGAGCAAGCGAGAATCAAGGCAAAGAATCCTATTTCTCGCAGGACGCCGAAAGCATGATGCTACCATGCACACCCTGCACCCAGCGGATTCCAACCCTTCACAGGTTGCCCTCATGGCAACATTGATGGAATCTTCGCAGGAGCGTCATGCTCTTGCATGCTCTCTCCAAAATCGACGGCATTTCCACCAACACCAGCATATGACAAAAATATGGGGCATATGTAGGTCCCCACCCCGCCTTCTCAAATGGTTGCGAGGTACTTGTGAAACTTGGCTAAGTGTGGAAGGGGTTTGCTGAGCTTGCTAGGCTGCCGCTTCGCACATCCTGAGAAAGCCGACACGCGGAACGTGAACAGACAGGGCTCTGCGTCTCTTAGTCTGCCACTTGTCAAAGACTTCATTCGACTTATTGACATAGAGTTCGGCCCATTTCGGGACCCAATCCTGGCAGGCACTGCTGTGACTGGTGGGGGGCTGGGAGTGCGAACACCCCGAGCTCGCCTCCTTGAGATGTCGGATGAAGTAGGTGGTCCCGCCGTACTCAATCTCGTTCAAGAAAAACGTCCGTCCGTTGGGGTCCCAGTTGGTGTGCTTGTCATGCAACGGGCTGTCTGAACAGCCGACATCAGTGCGAATCAGCGTCATGTCAACGGGCTGTCCTGGCGCGAACCGTTCGTTCTCAAGGGCATTGCTCTGATCTTTGTGAAACCACACAGCTGAACCTCGACCTAGGTTCAGTCCTGAGGGAGTGCACAGCTGTGGCAAGATCTTGAGTGCCTGTTCACCTATTCGCTTCGCATTCTCCAGGAATTCGGAGGGGATGTCGTCTCCTCCGTGCAACAACACAACGAAAACGCAGGCAGACAGAGACGGATAACGCATGATAACGCGGGGGCGACTCAAAACCAAAGTACAAAAGCAAGATGAGAAAGCCATGGCACCCGTGATTATCACCTCTTGGCCGTCTTCAGTGGAGACTGCCGCCTTGTTCGCGATTGCCTGTAGCTCCCCCATCCATCGGACCGAAGCATCAATATGCAGACGCGTCCCGGGACTTCTTGCTGCCACGACGCATAAAGGAACTTGCCGTTGAACCAGAAGACCCTGTGTAACAAGCTCCACATAACTTTGGAGCTACACAATCAATCAGAAGAGCACTGCACAAAAAAATGGCAGATCGTCCTGGTCTCCCAATTCCTGGTGAAGCCGTCGATGGCCTCTTGCACGACATACTCAGGACCTGCCATGATTCCGAATGCCAGTAGGTTTACGAAGAGAGACCAAGACAAGAAACATCATCAAGAGAACAGTAGGTTTACGAAGTGAGACCAAGACAAGAAACATCATGAAGAGAACATTGCACTTTGCCAGGCAGACATTCCGCGTAGTCCCGGAAATAGTTCTTGAGAATGCTGGGATCCTTCTCGCAATCCTTGTAAAGACGCAACCGCCCGACATCACACCTGTCACAATCCCCAAAGAGGCTCCTCGACCTTCAGCTTGCAAAAGCCAAGAGAGAAAGCCATCATGGATTGCTTCATCACAAACGTCTGCCAACCTCGTGCGGCGCATCGTCTCGGCTTCGAACATAAAATGCAGCCTACTCCCACCTCGCGCTTTGATCTCTGCCAGCAGCTTCGCTGGGCTTCGCTTGTTCTTCTTAGCGAAAATCGTCGGTGCCATAGGTATCCCAGCGTCCATGCAAGCCTGAGGGCAACATCAGCCAGTGCCTTCTTGCCTGCTTGCAGCTCAATCCCAGCAAAGAAGGTTGCAATGTCGAGGCCTGCATGTAGCGAGACTTGATGTAGATAAAGTCCTTGACAAGCTCAAATGTCTCTAGGATCTGCACAGCGCCCCAGCAACGAGCTCCGAAAAGTCTCACCTTTGGCCTGTCCTGGACTTCCCAGCTTGGCATTAGATTGCCACATTCGGTAAATGCCTTCGTTACCTCTTTGTACCTGTCAACAGCACAGCTCGTTTCCAAGGCGCCCTCTCTGCCATAGAAGGCCTCTTTGGACCCTCGAAAATGGAGTTGATGACATCATACCCGATGATGTAGTTGCACATGTTAGACTTCCTTGGCTGCCAACCAGCGTGGACCGGTTTCAGTTTTTTTGCTTTCGTGTTTCGTCGCACAGCGTTAGTGAGAATTTAGTTGTTTAGCCTTTCGGGGTGACTTGCTGCTGCCACTAGACACCAGACCGTGAGACCGTACGAAGCGCAGCTGCGAGTCAACCGCTTCAGCGTGATCTCCTCCGGGAAGATCATGTCAACAGTTACATCACCACCGTACTTCTTGTGAATGTACCTGATCCGTCCATTGCTGCACAGAAGCACAAGGGAGCATACATATCTCGGCAGGGGCGTCACCAAGGAATCGCGACATCTGCATGAGCAAATCCTTTGACACCAGCTTCACAGTTCTTCAAATACTCCTGCATCGCAACAGGGCTTCTTTTAAGGATTGACTTGGAGTTGCTTGTTTTGGGCCTCCAGGGATCGCTTTGGGTTTGCTGTGATGTTCTTCTCGTGAGGAGCCGGGGGGTGGATGTAGGTGCCAGCACACCTTCAAAATCCATGGAGGCTTTGAGGATACCGCGCCTCCGCTCACCCGGCCAATTACAAAATGTCATACATGCTTGTTGCTTGCCTTACGTGCAAATGTCATGCCCGAAAAGACACGCAATCACTCAAATTATGCTTGCGTGGTAATTGCAAAAGTTGCACACCTCTGCAAGCGTGCTCCGCTTTCATCTCTCACTTGAAAGGTCCGTGACAGCTCCTTGCTCTCAGGGTCGACGCGGTACTTGTCTGGCATGTCAGCCATGAACGAGGCATCACCGACATACTTCGGATCTTCCACCAAGTCTGTGTCCTCCAGGCTGTCTCTGCGCCGATCCCTCGATGCAAATGCGGAAGCCATGGCCTTGCCAATCAAAAAACCGATTCGAATGGGCTTCGTTGGGGCCACCACCTGGCATCAATCAAGACGAGGCACGGGGAGTAGGCAGGCAAAACACTGAAACACCCAGGTCCTCCGCTCCGTCATGTGCCATCAGTACATGCTGCTCTTTCACAATCACGGTGTTTGCTCCCACTCGCTGCCCCTGCCCCCCACAAGCTGTTGCTGCTGCGGTCCCCGCCAAACCCTCCAACTCCTCCTTCTGCTCCATCCGCCCCTGCCGTCATTCCGGTCCTGTTCTTCTGACCCCACTGCTGCTACTTCTACATAGTTCTGCTTCTGATTCTTCCTCTTCTGCTCCTGCATCTCCGTGACACCGACTGGCGCACCACCGCACATTTCCCCGGAGTCACGAGGAGAGCCGTGTCCCCTTGAAGTCTCCAGAGGGCGCCTTCCGGGCCTTGCTTGCCTTGCTCGCCGCAGGCTTGCGCTTCACTGCTGCCTGTCGGACTGTCGGATGTGGCACTGCAAGCTGGCCGGCCTCATAGATGCTGGCCTTCGTGACGACCTTTTTGGCCTTAGCCTGCCATGACAACGACGGTCCCGCATCCCACAGAAGCAGCTGACTTAGACCAAGCTCAGTCCGATCCCTCGAAGGCTCCCGAGCTGCAATACTGCACAGCCGCGCCTTGACTTGTGCGGGCTTCTTCTTGGGGGCCATGGCAGCGTGGCAGCGCGTGGCAAGAGCAGGTTGCAGCTTGAGGTGTGGCAAAGCGACAACCACGCTTGTCAACAGTGCAAACAGTGCGCCTGCGAACGACAGTACCCGGAAACAGCCGAGGCGAGGCATCTTGCATTCGCTTGCAAGGCGCGGGATCAGAGCTCTGACCTAACGTCGGCCGCAGCAAGCCTGAGGATGTCAGAGAACTCAATGCAAAAACACGAATCTCACAGCAGCGAGTGTGAGCTTGCTGCAGTTTGTCAACCAGCTCCGCCTTTTCCATGCAGCCCTTGCCTTGCGCTGCAGCCCAGACTTGCACTCTGGAATACAATCTCGCGGCCAGCTGAGGAGCGAGCACGTAGCACCCAGATCAGATAGCAAAGACCGCAGCACGGATGCCGGCTTGGCAGCGAGCAGTTCTGGAGAGGAACTGCGAACTGCCTCCCGCGGCAGGCCACAGGCGACGGCACAAAAACACGTGAGCACGCGCCGTCTAGCGGGTCAGCCTGAAGCGCAGCGTGCTTTGCATCTTCCCTGCCTTGACTTGCAAAATGGGCTGTCTGGCACACCCTCACATAAAACAGCAACATGACCGGTCCAGACGTTCAAGAGAGCGAGTTGCAGCGACGATTACACACCCCTGGCTGCATGAGCTCAACTTTACCACGATCGGTGGGGACTTCATTGGGACCGAAGCCTAACTCAAGAAGGCCACGGTTGCGATTGACACGTCATGTGCGATTCAGGTGTCTTTCACAGGCCAGCTGGTGGCCATCTCGATGTTGGCATGCCAGCCAAAACGATCGAAGCAAGACGCAGGACAATCGAAGTTGGCGAATTGTTGGCAGCATTCCGGCACGCAGGGCGTACGTTTCAGTACCTTCGCAAAGCGGTCCGAAATTTGTGTCTTTGAAAGTCAGCAGTTGAAAGTCCTGGCTTGTGATGGGCTTCACAAAAACATGTAGCTCAACTGCAAAGGCGCCCACCCTACATCCCGGAGTCGAAACGATTGTGCGCATGCTGTCTGTAGCACCGTGTCTCGATGCATGTTGCTCAGCCTGTGTCGCCCGCCAGGTGTCTGATCCTCGACTTCTCTGGCTTTGATGAGCTCTCAGCACTGACACGAGTGTGATGGCGCGACTCCTTGAAGAGCGGCCGTGGAGCACGGCCCGAAAACACGACATCGTACCATCCATGCCCACCCCAAACTGCAATATCCGATCCAAACAACATGAGCTCGTGCAGCTCGTGCTTGGCTTCAGGCCTGCTCGCTTGCCAGAGCGATGTGCCTTTGCACCTCCACCGCCTGTTTTCTTCACCTGCCCGAAGCAGACGTGCGTGTGGCAGCCAGGCCTTCAATTCTCGACCTTGCCATCAGACGTTCTTGGCTGAACAGACTTCTCGCGCGGGCCTTCCAGCTCGATGTAGGGAAAGGTCAACGAAATGAAAGGAGAAAATTTGCCAACACCGTCTCAGGTATGGACTTCCCGGCAAAGCACGTGCCTGAAGAGCCACATCGTCTGTCGCACACTCAGATACATTGCATCTTCATTGCACGCTCACCAACCTCCGAGCCAGCCAGGGCAAGCTTCTCCGAGTATCTTAGGCCTCGTGCAGCAACTCGAGGATGAAACGCGGCGACACCAGTCTCTACATTCTACAACTCTGCAACGACAAAACGAGTATGCTCTGCCGCTGGCATTCTTGAGCCGCGACTGCTTCGAAGTGCGGAATGAACCTCTCGTCCTCATCCTGCGGTAGCACATCAAGTGCAGCGCCTTTCGACATCAGCTGACGGATGCGCCTTCGTGGGGTCATAGTCGAATTCCAAGACAACTACCTCAAAACCACGGAGCCCATGGAGCGCACTTTCGAGGTGACAGCAAGCCAGGGTTTGCGTCCCTGACCGCCGCTGCAATTGCGGCTTGGCTTTTACCAGATCCACGTGTTGAAGAAGACCCTCACGGCTCGAGAAACCCGAACACACGCTGGAAAACTGGAAGCATCTCTGTATACGTTGCTTGCGAACGTCTTATGTTGGCGTAGGGTGGGTCAAATCACGGTAGTCAAGCACTTGCTCACGGATGAAAAATCCCTCTGGCTGCTTGAAGTTATCATGTAAGTGGACTCTATGCATGCATCATTCACCGAGCAGTTTCATGCCAGCGTGAAATTTTGCGGGATATTCGGGTGCTGGGTATCTTAATCACGTCACTTCACGAAAAGGGCCTGGCGATGCTGTGTTAAAAAACACGCGCGGGCATATTGGCTGTCCGTGTGTTGTCTGATACGTTGCTTGTCCTGTAGATTACGGCTTGGCACTTCTTCTGACAGGGGACGAAAAAGCTGCTGCATTCTGCAGCGGCGTTTCTCTCACAGCTGCCATTCACACGTCCTGGGCACTGGGCATCGCTACTGCCGTGCGTTTTTCCTGCCGGCCTCCACATTCCGCACCCATATTGACATCACCAAATGCAAACGCCGCAGCATGCCAAGATCCTCACGTGCAGAGACCTTCGAAGAGCTTCTTGCTTCCGTGCACCTGAATCACATAGCGGGGCTGCTCGAGGTGAGGATTGCAGCAACACTTGCCTGCAGCAGCTATGCGAAACACAGAAAGCTAAGGATCCGCGAGTGACCAGTTGCTGTGCGGGTTTGATGAATAAGGGGCGGAGGGCCTTGAGTAGCAGGTCGAACAGCACCGGTCGATCTTGGCCTGGAATGGCACTGGACACCCAACCGACACGCGTCCAACAAGCATTTGCAGCCTTGCGGCTTAGGCGAAGCTGCATCTCCTCTTTCGACGCCTTGCGGCCCTCCTGGTCGTTCTACAGCATGATGTGCATAAACAAGTCTGCGGTCGACGAAAGAACACTGAAGACCCGAACTGCCCGCTTGTCCTGCATTCGGGCCACCTGCACCGTTGGTCTGTAAACATGCCACGAAAATTCAGTTTAAGTGGCGCAGGGCGACCACAGAAGGCATGCAAGTGCACACTCGCGAGATAGTTCCCAGCGCACTCAGCACAATCCTCAGAAACAATCTGGTGTTTTCACGGTGATTGCTGTATCGCTGCTGCACTGCTACGACGGAGCTGACAGGATGACAGCTTCATCGAACCTTGCTATGAAACCGTTGGGAAGGCAAGCCTATGCAGGCACAAAGCCTCCTGAAGCTGCATGAGGTGTGAACGCAGCTGAAAATCCAAAGGCGCTGCAGTGCATTCATGCTTGCGGACACTCTTTGCCTGCATGTTCTCCGGCAGGGTGTTCAAGTGGTAGTTAAAGTTCTGGACAAAGATCTTGTAGCGCCTCGCAAAAATCCACCGGTCACAAATACATCTGTGTCCCCGTGCATGAGTGTGGGTGTGGGTGTGGGTGTGGGTGTGGGTGTGGGTGTGGGTGTGGGTGTGGGTGTGGGTGTGGGTGTGGGTGTGGGTGTGGGTGTGGGTGTGGGTGTGGGTGCGTGTGTGTGTGCCCGCATGTCTGCGTACTTGTTTGCGTCAGTTGCTGATTGCAAGAAGGCGGTAGCGCCACTGCTGGGCATCTTGCCCTGCAGGTGGGTCATCCTGGAACACAATGTTCTCGACTGGCCGGTCAGCACAATTGCCTGAGCTCCGGTGTAGCTGCGTAACCACAGGGATTGCCGTCTTACAGTTGGCTCTGAGATGCATGCCGCCATGCTTCCCTTGCACACCTAGTCACGACAGGATGGTATATGATATGCCGAGGCAAGAAACGATTATTGCAAAGTCACACAGGCGCAATCCTGTTTGTGGCGAGGGGCGCAATGACTTATGACAGTGCGCCAGCGGCCACAGTAAACTATTTTCGGTGCAGCGAACTTGTTGAGTGATACGGGCAAGATCAGCAAGGAGCAGCCAAAATTGTAACAGTATTAAGTACGAACCCGTGCCACTCGTAAGGGCGCTCTGCCAGGACTTGTGAACCATAACAACTGAGGACGCGTCACATGTCAACATCCAACTCACCACCTTCCGCCGTCTTGTGCCTGTAGCTGATTTCCTGACCACCTGACAGCATTCATCGCATTCTGTCGGTTCAAAAATCAAAGAGCCACCTGGCAAAAGCATGTGCAGGTCAAGGTCGTCAGCAGAAGTCCAAGAAAGCGACGCCACCAGAACCTCTCGTCGACACGCGAGGATGTCTTGCGCCGGTGGCTTGAGGCTACTCGGGCTTCGACACCTACCGTGTTGCCTCCAGCCTGCAAAAGCGGAGTCGTGGTGCATCAAATTACAAGTGCCATTTCTGGCGAGCCTGCCTGGACCACCCGTCGCTCAATGTCACGAGTAACTGCCAGGGCACCCTGAGGCCGCCTTCCGCAGTTTATCCCCAGCCAAAGCGCAGAAACACAGTGCACACATTCGATCGTGCAAAGCGGCCTGTCTCCGCCCTTCCCAGATGCTAGCACCACCTGGGCGTCGGCTGTGGATCCTGTCCAACATGGACATGGATGCTCATCAGTTGGAACCTGACACCGGTGCAGACCGTGTACTTGTGAAACCCCGCCTTCGGCCAAACCAAAACAAAGGATGGTCTGAAGCCAGGCCGAGGCCCCTCAGATCCAAAGCGTCGAATGAGGACGCGTGCGATGCTCACTGCACCGTGCGCCGGGCAGGAGTGATATCGCTTCCGCATTGCTTCGCATCTTGTTGGCACCTACTGATCCAACAACAAGCCCTAAATGACAATGCTCGTGTATGTCCTCGTGGCAAGCGTGCGGAATGCAGGGCAACCAGTGCTGCTCTGAGCCAACACGCAACATAATGCGATAAAAACTCGTAGTCGAGTTCTGCAGCTGTCCTGGCAACAGGCAGGTATGGGGGACCCAGCATTTTCCGAGTCAGCCTGGCTTGTGGCTGAGTGCTGACGTAGTTGAAGTCTTTGCTTCTACTCCTCCAGCTCTTTGCCGCCCTCCTCTGCATCCGCGAGCACCGGCATGGTACCGCTCGGACGGATCACCATCCAATGAAGAGTTCTCCTTCAGCGTCGCACTTTGCTCGTCAGACCTTTGATGTTCTTCGGGGCAGCATCCAACTTCACCAGGTAGGTTCATCAAGCCATGTCGACGGAGTTTTAGCCTGCTCGGAAGAATCCTTAACTCTGCAAGCTTCGCATCTCTGCTGAGTCTGGTTCATTCTGCGGTGCAAGAGGTTGCTCCCGGACAAGTGGCGTCCTGCCCAGGCGCGGCCAGAGGCCGCCAGCAAGGCCAGGAAGGAGGCAGCGCGCGCTGCCAGGTCCTCGCCCTTGCCGAGGCCCTCGGAGCTCCGAGAATCCCAGGAGGCCCAACAGTTCTTTCAAGACACCCTTTGAAGACACCCTCATCAGCCTGAGCGGTCAGGATCTCCTGATAGAGCTCGTAGGCGCGGTCCTTGCAAGAGCGAGATGGGTGAGCGAGGGCCATCGCCAAAACGCAGCTGGTTGCCGCCAAGTCTCCGGGTCTTTCTCGGTGCCCAAGCCATTTTCCATAGAATAGGCCACATCGAAGCGCCCTCGCAGGTCACCAGTTGCCATGGCCTGCTGGCTCCAGTAGAAAGCCTGCAGCCAGGCTCATTCGAGCTCATACGAGCTGACTGCAACCGGCAAGTCTCGGGGGCCAGTCCTGTGCACCGTCTTTGGGGGCTCCACGGTAGCCGCTGCTGTAGGCATGCGACAGGACCTCTGCGCAGGCGATCCGAACCCCAGCTGTGACAGCTGTGACCTGGATCTCAGAAAGCTCCGAGGGCAAGGCATGCATGGCGTCAACCTTGCCATCGTAAGCCGCCCTGCGAATGATTCCAATCTTCCAACTATTGCCCCAGCGGATGGGCCCCAGTCTCCGAGGCCTCCGATGGAAGTAGAAGGCACAAGTGTCGGGTGCAGCGGCGAATATCGGCCGCGCAGTTTCCAATTCTGGTGGCACCTCGTGGATTCAAGAAAATGCACTGCACTCTCTACGAGCGAAGATCGCAGGCCAACACGCCTCGCGGCAGAGGAAAGATCCCGGACGGCAAGCAGAAAGCTCCTCTAAAAGGCCAGCTAAAAGTTGCTTTGGGTGAGCTTTCCACCTTCCTTCTGTCTCCTCTTCAATACTTTAGACCTCTGCTCTGTCTTCTGCACATGGGGGAAGAAAAACTGTTCCAAGTTTCCTCGCCAGCACCAGCCCACTGCCTCGCGAGATCCTCACAGGCCCCATCACCTCGTCGGCAACCAAATCCACCATAGCATGGACAGTCAGTGCTTTCGGTCAAGGAGAGAAGCTCCTGAGGCAGCTTGGGCGAAGTCGAAATAGCTGTGTTGCACCCACTGACAGGCAAAGCTGAACGACCATGCGAACTCCTCCCAAGTGCCTGGCGAAGCCTCCGTCTTCTGAGCGGCCACATTGGCCTCAGCAGCGATGTTTGCCGGCCTTTGCTTCTACGGGTCCGCTTCAGCAACCGCACCCGGCGGTCTGCGAACAGGATCAGGGCCACATGTTTGGCTTGCAGGCTTGAAGCTTTAACTCTCGTCGCAAGATGCCATACAAAGTCTTTTCCCTCTCTTTGCATCGAGACAAACGCCCTGCAGCATGGAACCCGCAACTTTGCAACTTTGAGGGTCTTGCTTGCAGGCTTCGGTGGTACCATTCGGGCCGCACCCAGCAATGCAAGAAATCGCGTGTGGAAACCTGACACGACAAGCTAAGCTGCTGCGTTCAGCATGGCGGTCGTGAAGTGGCAACTCCAGCTGATCACTCCAGACAACATCGAGTTATGTGTCCATGTCACCCTCAATGAGAACATATGCTCTTACACCGTAATCAACAGCCAACATTGGGAATCACTTCACGCAAGTCCCGAGTCGGACAAGTACACGAGCAGTGTTTCCAGAAGCTGACTTTGACCCTCCATGATAATCGGGTGGGACTAATCACATCTTTTGTTGTCGACATCGGGCCCTTTCCGTCCTTACAGCTTTGTTCCTGTACAGCTGCTCGTCTGTTTTGGCATCCGCCATCTTGGCAATGACGGTGCCGGCATGAGCGGCAATCTTGGCATGTATACAGAATGGCAGAAGCATGCAGAGTTTAGACTTTAAACTGATCAATAAGGCGAGGACACGGTCCAGTTGGACACCGCAACTTCAGCAGAACTACACAGCATGTGGTTAAGTACAGGAGCACATCTGTAATACTGTACCGAGGGTGGAGCTTTGTCTTGAATCCTTTTTTTGTGCATTCTTTGCGGTGATGCGGGGGCCGGGGGGCGTTGTCGTGGGGTTTGATAAGACAGTACACTTGTTAACCGTATTTTCCGTGATTCCGTGTATGGGTAGGAGAGTCAGCACAAGGGAACCCTTTACAGGAGTCCCTTTGCAAGCCGCTCTTTGCGAAACCCTTCCGACCCTTTTAAGGAGATGCTTCAGTGTATACATCCTATGCGTATTTGCAAATGCACATGTGACACATGTGGTATATATGGTAATATATAGTGTGGTATTCGATTTCTGAACAGAATGTATAGCAGGAAAAGGGCATGTCTATATATATATATGTACCAGTTTACACGATCTCCACCACTCGCACAACTCGCTGAACAGCCCTGGATCGCAGAGTTCTTTTTCCTTGCGATCGAGACGTGGGACGTGATCGCGTCATAGATCGGATCATCAAAACTTCACTCGATCTTCACACGTCCGATCGGAACCCCGATCACCGGGTGTGCGCATCGGCAT